TGTTTAATAACACATTTACCTTACTTTTCTGGTGCACGCTTCTGGGCTGTTCATTCTTTCGCTCTTCTGGCCGAGGAGCGGATGAACGAACGGATGTAGCGTAACCACTCGTGCGTCCAAGGGCGTCGCTGGGACATACCCCGGTCCTCCGTTCGTTTCAGTGTCTTTCATACCTCAAATTTTGTCCTTAGGTTTGGGCGCATCTCTGAATTAAGGGCGGGCCGGAGGTTTGTGCGTGCTTTGCTCTGAGGAGGGAATTTCCCATCCCTGGTCCCATCGTGCCTCTCTCCAAGGATGGGGGCTTGATTGGCCCGGCGCTACCATCGATTCCCTGCCTCTATGCCGAGCTCCACAATGGCGCGACGCGGGTGAGGAACAGAAACCTGTGCCTCGCTCTTGGTGAAATACAACTGTGCACCTTATCTGAGTAGGATGCACAAACAGCACGTATTTCTTGCACCCTACCCGTGGTCTCATCATATTGCTGACAGTCATGCTTAAAAGCATATAATTATCATTACTGGACACAAAGCGTGACGTGTTCACTTTCATCGTACGCGAGCTGCAGGTATGTTTTTCAATACAAGCGGGGAAAGGTTCGCGCACCTTGGCAGAGTTGGTCTTGAGTCGCGGGCGAGATGGACCAGGACCCAGCGCCGCAGAATGGCCGGTTGGTCTTGTGAAGCTGGTTAAAAATAAGCTCGGCTTGTATTACGTGACCTAGAGCTTATTGAAATCACTCCCTCAAAATCAATTTGTTATACCATAGTAAGTTCATGTTAGTGCAGTGGGCTGCTTGAATCTTTCCTCATGCCTGATTATTTCAAAGAGCACGATCCCAAGGCCCTGCTGTTACTGCCAATTACCAACTGCCGGACACGTCGGACATTTGGTTTGGAGGCCTATAGACAGGAAGGACAAGGGCAGAGGGCCTTCGGCTGTGTCCTCTGTCTATGATGGTGTCGAGTCAGTGAACAGTTTCACTGTACACAAAGTGAATCGTTTAGTATTTTAGGAGGGTGCCTCCACTACCACATTCACCACCTGATTCGTTTTCGCTCTGTCGTTGATGACATGGAAGAGTACTCGTCAGATATAGGAGAGAATTGGCAAAGGATTTGCTGACATGATAGTGAGAGGGGACGCGAGAAAGCAAAAGGCTAGCCAATTTGAATGAGAGAGCGAGAGGGTCGATCAGCGCGGTGGAGCGCGCCCGAGCTTTATAGGATGAGCCAGCGAACGAGGAGGCCAGAAAGTGGTGAGTCGTAGCCTGGGTTAAAATGATAGATAAGGATAATGGGGGCGTGCCAGTTGCCAAAGTGGCCGTTCAGAGTGAGAGCGGTAGACGCCACCGATGTGAGGCGGGTGAGGTTTGCTTCCGACACGACGTCATGCTAAGGATGAAAGATGCACGGACATTATGTCCAAGGCGGTGTAGGTGAGTGTGGGATGCGGTGAATGAATAGAACCGTACAACAGCACAACTTGCTCATCCAACAGTGCCATTAACAGGCTAACATTTGTCATGCTGCCGTTGGATTTCCTGTGCACATTCGCCTTCGATGAAGGAATGCACCACTACTTGATCCCGAGTCGTGAGTGCTTTCTTCTCAAACTTGTTGCGACTGCCCAAGCCGTCGTTGAGGCGCACACCAGGGTATAGATGAGACAATACCAGCGCAGAACGGAAAATACTGCGCAATGTCCTGCAAGTGGTGATTCACGATGAGAGCGGTCTGTTTGCTGGGGACCGCGCGCTGAGGGTTTTGAGCGCCCTCCGACGTTTTGAACGGTGATCCACGGTCACCCCACTGTTAGCGCTTCGCAAGGGAAGATAAAAGGGACCACACCTGGAGCTTAGAACCCAGAAAATGGGCTCATCCATGCCTCGCTTCCTCTTAAGGTCTCTCGATATCCGCAGTAGGTAGGGGCTGGGCACGACCCACTATCTGAATTGGAGCTGGAACTCCACGCCTTGTATGACGGGCGCAAGTGCTAATGCTAAGTGTATCATAGGAAATGATCCGATCACTGCATCTACTCGGAATTGCACGGACTTACAAATGGGGCGATGTCGTCCCAATCATAGCGACGCCCTCCTTGGATGCCAGGATCATGACCTCACGCAGAACTAATGGACCTTGGATCATCGTGCGCTTCAATGCCCACGCGTCAGCGGAATTTTTTTTTTCTGTGCGACACGGAAGGCAGAGCACGGGGCGAAAGTGTCCCAATGCGGGACCGGACGGAAGGTGCAAACTTTTCATCTTCAGCAGGTCTAGCAGAAATGGAGCTGTGATCCCGCCTTGGAACATCGATCAGAGCATTGATGAAACGGTACACGTCTTCATTGAATTGCATTACTCACTACTATCGATGGCTGGAGCATTACGGGCTGGTTGTCATGATACGCAACACCTTGGTGGACATCCCATGAACAAGGTGTGATGATGCCTCATAAACTGATGGAATTGTTATTTGTTGCCGTCGTAGGAAGCGCTTCTCCCCACTTACAGTAGCGAGCTCTATCTTGCTGGCATTCTGTTCAGTGTGTCAATGGGGTGGATGTTAGCATGTGCGCCCGCAACATGGCATGCAGGGAGATAAGGTCTTTTGCATTAGGTTGTAATTCAGATTGTCGCTCGTATACTGGGCATCGAGGATGACGTAATGGTCAGTTGCTCAGCGGGCGAGCAGGTGCACAAGCGAAGTGATTGGACAACCATGCTACCAGGGGTTTACTAAGCTAGCATGGCGATGTTGCGGGGCTTCTGTGTTGGAGGCGGGTTGCGCGATGGGGACGTGGAGTACGCGTTAACCGCGGCTAGAGCAGAAGGCAGTGGGTGAGAGTCTGAGCTGGGTCCAGTCAGGCGCTGAGATCTTGGGCATTCCTGGAGCGCTGAGAACTGGCGCTGCAGTTTAGGGTTGAAATCATTTGACAACACGTTGCAGAGGTTCGCTTCTGATGGCATAATTTCAGCATCGAGATTTTACTATTAATGTTACCACGGAACAGTACTGACTGTGCAAGTGCAGAGTAACCGATGAATGCACCTATATTTTTCTCGAATACAATACACCCATCATGTATGTCTTGTACAGCGCCACGTCATAACGAGGCCATGGGCCTATTTCCGGTGCCGAGCACGTGCGACTCGGAGCTGATGGATCGGAATGGGTTACCAAGTGGCCAGGTCTTAACTTGCCTCCAGCATGACCTGCTAGCGCTTGCGTTTGGTGTGTTTCTCCCAGCGCAGCAGGGCCTGTAACTCACGCTCGCTCGCTGTTGCCTCCTCTGTTATTGCGGGGTTATTGCTTTCCTGCTTCTTTCTTACTTAAAAACCACCATGGAACTCATCTAAAAAACATTGTGTGCGCGCGTACTTGGGTCCGTGTCTCCCCCTCTAGTCATCATGGGGAAACATCTCGAGCTGCAAAAGGTATTCTGGTCTTCATGCCCTCAAAAAATAAGGCCGAATGTCGTTTGGTTATCAACATCACTAGATCAGGCTTCTATGAGGGCTAAGGTATGGACGAAAGTTCCTGGTAAACTTCAATTTGAAATATGTTTCCGAGTATGGTCCTAATCAGATAATAATTGAATTCAAAGAAAAATATCGGTTATCTAATCGGTTCCGACCAAGATAGTGGACATGGCCCAACGTGGGCCGGCGCAAAATAGGCAAAACAGCGCAAGCGAGCTGAGGACTGGCAAGTCACGATAAAGTAAACAAGAAAGAATCTACTATATATAAAGAGCGCGGACACGCTCCACAGATCGCGAACGCTGATTGGTTGGAGCGAGTAATTTAATTTGCTGAGAACTGTATTATTGATGGTGGGTTGGTGGGCGGGTATTGTCTGAGTGCAGTCGTGTGCATGGAGGCGTGGAAGGGAACCTCGGGCCCCGGTGCGATTGGTTCATCCATCCATATGACGGGATCCACATCAGATCAAGATTCAGCGCGCCCATAGCTACCCAATCGGAAATGCCGGGAGTCCCTGGAAAGTCCCCCTATCGGGTCTCCCCGCATTCTCTGCCAGAAGCGGCAACTTTCGAGTAGCTTTGTAGCACTTCCCAAGTGCTTCACAACCATTCACTCTTCTCCATGTAACTTAGCGAGGCAGGCTTTCGATTCCGATTGAAAACAACTAACCTAGCAGCTAGAAGTCAGATCTCGCAAATCAAGGCACTACGCGTTCATTTCACGTTGCCTATCCTTTTTTTCCGTGTCTCATGTTGCTACTCCTTCGAAGTTTCCAACAATGGATCAACATAGACGCTAATGGCATCGGGAAGAACCTATGAGTTGGGTTCGGGAAGTGGGGAAGGGGGGGAAATGGTGTGTTAGCGGCTTGGGAGTTGGGTAGTTTTGCGTCGACTTCCCCGCGCGGACATCAAACTTATTCACTCGAAACCGATAATTCCTAATGTTCCAAGCGGGTTGGTTTCCATCCCTTTAATATATATAGGCCTAGTTTTGAAGGATGGATTCCTTCAGCCTCGCGCTTCCCCTGCGTTGTTCAATCACTGGCACTTCGATTCCATGCCTTCGCGTTGTTTTGTCTGTCGACTGAGAGGAAAGGTGTGTCTGTTTCTTAGTTCATCTTCACCCGGACAAGTATCCTTCCTCATTCGGTTTCAGTGTTTGCTCACTCTGCACCCACGGCCTCACTCGGTTGAGAACGTTCGGCATCAGAGGCGCTAAAGGCACATTCTTGCCTAGCTAAATGTTCCACACGGTCGCGAAACTTTGGCATGAGGAAGACCAACTCCGTGTGTCATAAGACCAAGTCAGGACGCATCGCGCGTCAGAGGCCGTTGGTCCCGTTATATATACGACACACGCCCTATATATAGCCTCCATCATCCGATAGTGCAAACGAGTTTCTTACTCAACATCATTTTTAGGGATGTGTCCAATCCTTACGTTGCCAGTCTTGTGACGCATGTTACGGCAAGCATGTTGAATGCATCCCCTGCCCGATAAAGATTTCAAATGTGGTCAAAGTACGCGTTCGCCATCGTAGTGAAGGTCCGTATGATCGGCGAAGCACTGAGAATAACTTTGTAGAAATCGGCCAGAGCTCGGGAGTGTCGGGAGGAGGTCAGGGCCTTGGCTTCAGGCGACCCCACGTGTGTTGAGATAGGTACGTCCCTCTTTCTGTACCCTGTTGTCATCCCATCTACAATCTATCCATTTCTTTCTGTTCAATAGCGCTGCTCCCCAAAACGCGAGAGTTCCTTTCATATTTGCAATCGATCCTTGGGGATCCAACGTGCTGACGCGAGAATCCCCCAACCATCTACTATCGTTTCGCCGACGGTGGTATTGCCGACCACAACCCATGGATGGGTAAACCAAGTGGGGACTATTTCAGCCAACGAGGGATCCTCCATCACAGTCCCACTGGCAGACGGGCTCGGAGATGTGCCAGTTACTAATGATCCTGCGGCCTTCTACCCACCTTCCACCTTGGGATCGTACGAATACGTCGGATACATCGATCAACCATCCCTCTTGGATTTCGGTTCAGTCCCTTATCCCTTTGATCCTATAGCTAGCTCTTCCGCTATTGAGTCAATTTCCCATGGCTCCACTTCCTTCCTTGAGCAAGTGATTCCCGTCCAAGAGAAGGCATCCTGCGGCGAAAATCGGGATGTTCTAATGCCAGACATCTCGCGCAATACTGTCAACTCTGAGCTTGCGGGACCATCTACTGCGCTCCGTTCGCAATCAGATGCCTCTTCACACGAATCTCGTGGCGAGACTCTGGGAAATGCTGCGGGTTGGAGTGAGGCTGATGTGAGTCACCTTAGAAGTCTAGCTTGGAGTATGGGATACTGCCTCATTCCCCGCGGAGCGGCCAATCCCGGTGGTGGTGCTCTTGTATAGGGGCATTTGTTTGAAGGTAAGTTTTTCTGCGCAATATATCTGCCTTTTGTAAACGCGGCATTCCAAATATGGCAACTGTTGGAATATCAACGTTCATCGACGACAGCTGAGCCGCTGCGAGGGTTGGGGAGTTGTGAGATTTTAACTTAATATCATCGTGGCTAACAACGATTATACCCTTTTTGTTTCAGAGCCGCGATACCACGCGCTCTCAATTTCTTTTGTCTTACATCGCCAATTGTATAAGTTACGCTGGGTGCTGTAATTTTTGTCTCTCCCTCAGTTCTCCATAACGAGACTGAGGTGATACCATTTCTTTCCTATCTATGTTTGCGCATAACTCATTGTATCTTCATGTTACAGTTACGTGCAATAGGTAAAAGATCTCAATATATTAGTTCTCCATAACGAGACTGAGTTACGCGCAATAGTATCTAATTTTATGTTGAAAATCTTGGTTTTCTTGGGAGTTATAGTGTGCTGTGGCCAACTCACAATGTGATGTTGAGCTTGCGGCGTTGTATTTCCTTTCTTGGTATTCCTGCTACCAAAGTCAGTGCGCCATTGAGGCGACTGCTTATAAAAGCAGTGCACAATTTTTCCCTCTCGTCTCCCTCAGTTCAACAATGATTGACTGAGGTGAGACTCCGCTTTCTCTACATGTTTGTCTCATCACTCATGTACTCTCATGTGCCCTAGCGTAACACGCTAGGTAACTAGTTTCAATTTATCAGTTCAACAACAATTGACTGAGAGTAACATGCTAGCGTAAATCGCTACAATTCTAATATTTTAATAGCAACCCGATTCAGCGATTCACTCGCAGTCCAGAAGTAATACACCAGTACATACAGTCGGACAAAGAAGGATGAGTGTTCTCAGATCGGACCTATCTGTTACTTTTACTTTATTTGCGTGTATTTTTCTCGAGACCCCTGCCCTTGGCGCTCGTGTGAGCAGCCTTGAAGTTTTGCAGGTTAAATATCCAGAATAAAACAAACAAACAAACTAGTACACGCGGCTTTATACTCTGCGATAATATTCTTGGGTTTTCCATGCGCAAGCGCTGATGCAGGCGCCGAATGCCCATCATGTGACTCGCATTCCAACATGGCCTCCCGAGCTGGCCGAATTCATTATCACATCTACGGGCACCGATGCCTGATGGCTCATCCAGTTGCTGACTTGCCCCCTACTACTAGACAAACACTGCCTGTCCACTCTGGCGGCGTGATATATCACGCAATCTTCATCGGCAGCCCTCACTGGCACGAACTTATCTGCGCGCCTAACCATTAGCCCCCCCACATTACACGATGCGCGCCAATCATGGAATGCCTGATGTTTCTGGCCACATGTCGCTATTATTGTGGGGCAGCATGTGAATACATGATCTACGAATTCTCATAATTCTCCTTGTAGCAATTATGCCCGAATGGTGTATTCAAGCGATCGCGTGAGGGCTGCGCGCGGGCGCGCCGCTCATGATCGCATGAGTACGTTCGTGACATGGATATACATAGAAGCTATATATAACGCTTGCTTCCTGGCCAACTCGAAATGCTGAGCCCATCGACGCACGGGGTTGACGGGCGAGCCGCTCACTAGTCACGATAATATCCCGCCAGCACCAGCTTCAAATACCACGCGATGCTGAGTTCCAAGCTGCAGTCTGTTGTCTATTGGCTCCGAGGCCTGACCCAGAGGTTCGGATATCGCCTCGTGTCTCTGAATCCGTGCGCCCGCAACATGGCATGCAGAGAGAGCAACCGATAGTTTTCTTTGAATCCAGTTATTATCTTAAATCTCTATTACTTTTATTTTTGACGTAATCAAGCGCTCATGCAGGGAGCTCACAAGATTTACATCATGGCGATCTCGCTATTTGCTCCGGTGTTCCACATCCCACTTTTGTGCATCTGTTGTTACTATCTGCTTCTTCCTCTCCTGACATCATGCTTCTACTGGCAAATTAGGCAGCTCGCAACTGATTGCCGAAGAATGGTAGCTAGTCATATACACACTGGCAACAGCGCTAGAACTCTCTTCAATTATACATTGCAATTCTTTTGCATGTTAAAATGGTCTTTGCGACAAGTTACATAGGATAATCGGCCCAGCTCGGGCTTATATCCCTCCTGCAAGCGAGCCATTCCGCCTACAAGGGTTGGGGTGGGAGATGAGCTGATAGAACCCTCCTACTTCTAGACTGTTTCTCAGAGGAGGGTTGCCTACTCCCCTTATAACTCAGATGTCTCCCGGACCTCGGAACAGCCGTTCGATCATTCAGTCTGATGACTCCGGGAAGAGAAGCAATAAATCTTGGGATCAGGCAACACGAATTGTATTAGAAACGCAGTCACGCACACACCACGGAGCAAACTGAGTAATTCTGAGCATCTTGGGTAGATCGAGTGAGGGCGAAGAATCAACTTACACTGCCCACGTCAACTCAGAGAGGGGCAAGGCGGTATCCCATCTTCTGAGCCGGGCCTCGAAACTAGTAGTCAACATCATTTTCATTTGAGTTCGTCTCCGACCACCTGTCCTGTAGACGATCAGGAGTTTCGAGCGCAGCAACAATCGGTGCCGGATTGACGATATGAGAGGGACCAGCTCTGGAAGGCTCGGCAAACTGCTCAGCATGATGGAAGAAGGGTGGCATCACGTCGGACAGGGTAGAGTCAATGGAAGAGGGCCCTGCTCCTAAACCTAAACCTTGAACGGGAAATACGGGAAATGAGGTCTGGGTTCGGAGATTCAGCGATTCTCTATCGAGGGTGTCACCCTGCGTGGATATTGCCACGGGAAACGCGTAGGGAGGCCGATCAAGAGCTGACGCGGTGTCAATATAGCTCGCTGGAAAGGCTGTGATAGAACCATCGGGAAAGCCAGTAGGCGCTTGGATCTCTGGGACATGAGGCGCATGAAGTGGAGTTGCCATCAGTGGGGTGGTGATGGGATGTGTAGGGGTTTCTTCATCGGCTGCGCTTTGACCCGTCGAACCCTCAAGGGTCGAGTGTAGGTCCAGAAGAAACATGCGAGTCTGTGGAAGATGAGCTACATATAGAAATAGAGAAGCATGAGAACGATGTTGAATGTTGTTTTGAGGAGGCTTTCCTACATACCAATCCATGCACGCCCGGGATCAGCCAGCCCTCTAGCCTCACTCACACACTCCTGAGCCCTACCCGATGTCTGTGAATTTTTCACTTTATCAAGCGAGTCCATCAACCCAATAGACGGAAGACATACCTTGACCTCACTGGAAATTGTCATCGAGCAGGCAAGGCACTCAATCCGCATCCTGCGACAAGATTCACAGGATTGGGAATGTGTCGACTCGATGCATCCCTAAAAACCGAAATGAGCAAGTTTTTTTTTTTCGCGTTACAAGGAAGATGGGTGTAGAAGAAAATGTCATTAATGTTTATGTCGGTCCATGTGTCACAACATGTCACAGGGAGATGACATCGACCCAATGTTCTGCGCTGCAAGTTTGAGAAGCCATGTATCTCCTTGCAGGCGTCGCACCGTTAGATCGACCGAAGACATTTTGTACTCCTCCGAGGACGCGCCCGAAGGAGGATCAAGTTTGTGGTGGGCTGTTACTCGCTTATTGGAGAACCCAGAGGGACGCACCTTTCCTCTTAGTTGACAGATGAAACAACGTGAAGGCATGATGAGTATAACTGGTGAAGTGTAGGAGCGGAGGGATATATAAGTACCTCAGAGTGTTTAAGAATGAATCAGGGGCGGGCCTGAGAAGTAGGCTCTTAAAACCCTATTTCCGGTAGGTTACGATAAATTATCTCTTCAGAGGGAAAAGGGGATATTTCCTTGTTGCCTTGTTACCTTGTACTTCCAAGGCCACTTTCGTGTCCACAATCCGTGGGAATCTGCTATTAATAACATCGTCTGCGCACGTGCCCATTTCTTTTCAAGCAAAAAAGGCAAGGGCTGTCATAAATGTGTGTCAGTTTTACCAGGTTAGCTGTTGAGGCTTGCACGTCAAAATCCAAACGGCTTTCTATGCTCGGACTTGTCGATCTCCAAATTCCGGCCTGGGTGCATCACATGTTCAACAAACCAACACGGCGCTTATGGGATCGGGGAAAAAGGACTAGGAGCGATTGAACAGAAAGGGGGTGGGAAGGAGTTGCCAGATCTTGTTAAGTGAAGAATGCATTGATGGTCATGAGACTCACGTAACTAAAGTCTCTTGTGGGCCGGCGAGTAGCTGAAGATGAAGATCACAGCCCTACCTGCCTTCAACCATTTTCCGCTCCCTAGTCTCTGGCGCGCATTCTTGTGAGTTTAGTTGTGATCCACCCGCTGGCTAACTAGGGATGCTTAGCCCTGCTTCACAACCCAGTTTTCGCGCATCCCAACCGAACAGACGAATGGTAAGTAGAACAGGACCCAGGTTGCATCTACCACCGGCCCGGTGTTCCGATCCAGACTGATCAAGTAGACGCGCAATAAATCCTTTTTTGCTGTTTTTAAATGTAAACGCTCTGTGCGGCTTCAGATTCATGTGGCAAGCAGTGCAGAGTTCAATACTTGAAGCAAGCGACAAAAAAAAAACCGCACACCCGATTTGGATGAATGGCCCATGAGGATGATCTAGTTTTAGCCGTCCTCCGCTGGGGTATAAAGGAACTTCTTCCTAAGAGGTAGCCTGCTAGTGATTTAGCGCTTATTATTGTCAATCAGCTGAGTACATTCAACCAAATTAGGTTGTGCGGTTTTTTTTTGCTAAGCGGAGAGAACAGAAGACCAAGATCTTGAGTGGTTAATCGCAATGGAAGCGCTAGCCGAAGGTTCGAGAAGATAAGGGTTCAGCTTGAATTCTAGCGCACGAATCCAAGCGGTGTCGTCAGGTCTGAGTGCGTGACAAGGAACAATAACTTCGAAAGAGGAAGGTGAGTTCATGATCGGCCAGAAGATAACCACACGAGGAGCCTGGGAGAATGGGCAAAAAAAAAACAAGCAGCTTGTAGGCCGCTCAAGTTGTTATTTAAGGACTGGATCGAGATCCGGCCCAGACGTAAATGATTTTCTCCCAGACTAAGGTTTGGTTTAGTACAGTTTTGACCGTACCTCATGTCTTGGTCGTGACTGAAAACAAGGGTACCAAGCTGGTCTAATTGTCAACCCAGAGGGGACTGTGTGTATGCTTTTGGTGGGGGAAGGGCAAAACTGTTTGCGCATTATTCGTACCCACGGGAGTAAATATGCTGACACAGCGAATGAGTAGTATGATGTGCACCCCACCGTGGGAAAAATTTCGGAACAAAAGTGAAGCAACCACTATACATTACTCTCTCAGGTATTTACGGTTGCCAAGCAGGATCCGACTCAAACACCGCGCGTCATTTGGACTTTGAGCTCACCGCTACGCGTCTATACATAAGTCAATTGCGTTTCCAATGACTCCGGCGCTGTGGACATACTAGGTGCACTTGGAGCGAAATTCGCGTATCGGGCAGGATACCGGTTTCCATTAAAGTAGATGTATACCTGCACTTATGAGCCCCAACCGCTGGGCATCTATATATACAGCACCTACGTCACTTGGGTTTTTATCAACTCCAAGCATACAATATGCGCTTCTTATTAATATTGTCTCAGGCCGAAATTTCATCACAAAACTTTAATAAGAAGCATAGTGGTGCAGCGTCTAGTATGCTTGGACCCAAGTGACGTAGGTATAGACGCGCCAACGATTGAGCTCAAAAGTGATGGTCTGGCGCCTAGTAAACAGTGCCGGAGTAGTTAAAAATGCAACGCACTTACGTATAGACGCGTAGCGGTTAGCTCAAAGTCGTGTAGCCATAAGTACTAAGGCTCTCCAAATCAGGGTTCTCACTAGCCGCTGTATCTCATGCCTTGATACCCAGGGGCTCAATAGCGCTGAAAACCATGCCATCACCATTCAAAACATTGATGTCCCTGAACATTACAACATACTCTCTTCCGACATTTTCCGCTTGCACGATTTACTCTGTCCTTACCCTGTGATTTCAACGGGATGCTTCCTCCTGGACCTCTCTTGAACCTTCGTCAATTATTACTGCCACTCGCCCTATTTGCCTCTGCCTGAGCCTCTCGTTCTTGGAGGAATCTAGTCGATTATCGATACGGAATATAAATGTTACTCCGGTATCCTTATCCAGCTTCAGTGGTTGCTCGCTCTGGGCCTCCGCCCGAAGGTTCTCAATCGAGTAGTTCAAAGGCGCTAAACGTGCATTCTTGCATAGCTACATCTTGCGCACTGCCACGAAACTTTGGCATGGGGAAGGAAGACCAACTTTGTGGATCATAAGACCAGTCAAGATGCATCGCGCCCTCGGATGGGCTGTTGCACCTGCCCTTTAACCTCCATCCGACAAACCATGACTAGTCCAAACGAGTCTCTTGCTCAACATCATTTTCACAACTTCCGTAGGGATGTGTCTGGCCCTTAGATCGCCAGTCCTGTGACGCATGTCACCGCATGCATGTTGAATGCATCCCCTGCCCGATAAAGATTTCAAATGTGGTCAAGGTACGCGTTCGCCATTGTAGTGAAGGTCCGTATCATCGACCAGAGCTCGAGAGTGCGTGTCTGGAGGAGGTCGGGGACTTGACTTCAGGCGACCCCACGTGTGTTGAGATAGGTACGTCCCTCTTTCTGTATGCTGTCGCCCCTTCTATAATTTATCCATTTCTCTTTGTTCAATAGCATTGCTCCCCAAAACGCGAGAGTTCCTTTCATATCTGCGATCGATCCTTGGGGATACAACGGGTCAGCCCGTGGCTGACGTAAGAATCCCCTAGAGGCTGGGAACCTGCCTACGTTTCGCAACCAAGCGGGGACTATTTCAGCCAACGAGGGATCCTCCATCACAGTTCCACTGTCAAACGAACCCGGAAACGTGCCAGTTACTAATGATCCTGCAGCCTTCTACCCACCTTCTGCCATATACGAATGCGTCGGAAACATCGATCAATCATCCCTCTTGGATTTCGGTTCAGTCCCTTATCCCTTTCACATTCTCAATCCTGTAACTAGCTCTTCCCCTAGTGAGTCTATTTCCTATAGCTCCACTTCCGTCCAAGGGAGGGCATCCTGCGGCGAAAATTGGGATTTTCTGACACCAAACATCTCGCTCAATACTGGTAACTATGAGCTTGCGGGGACCATCTACTGCGCTCCGTTCGCAATCAGATGCCTCTTCACTCGAAACTCGTGGTGAGACTCTGGGAATTGCCATTGCGAGTTGGCTGTGAGTTGCCTTAGAAGTCTAGCTTGGAGTATGGGATACTGCCTCGTTCCTCGCAGAGCGGCCACTCCCGATGGTGGTACTCTTGTTGTATAGGGGCATTCGTTTGAGGGTTTTGAGGTCAAATGCCTTCTGTTTCTCTGCACGACTCAATGATGACATGAATTATCGATGTAGGTGGCGATTGCTTTTATGGACTCGCGATGAACGTACTGTACTGGCTTTCAACCCTCATGCTTTCATGTCTGCTACCTTGCTCTTAAGGTGGTCAACACACTTGTCACTTGTCATTTCCCCAGAGCAGTTTTCCTACTGCAGCTCTCTCTGCCGAGGAAAATCCTGAGCGTTCATGTCATTCCCGAATCCTCGCACGCGTCGAAAGTGATTCGAAACGTAGATGGCGCATCAGCTGCGATTACACTCGCATTGTCCGGCCTACCGTTCCTTTTTTTTTTTTTTTCCAAATTTTGCTGCTCAACCAACCTGCACTGTTTTATTGCCTTAGCTTCTATCCTTGATCGTGATTAAACATCGGACGATTGAACTGGATGTACACCCAATATATCGAGCTCATGGCACCGATGCCGACTTGCACTTGCAATGGCGTCTCATGCACTGGTCCCACCAATTATGACAGTGCACTTTGACCTTACCAACTTAGGCAGCTGAGCGCATCTCAATTGAACGCCTGATGCCAGCTCCTCCAGTTGCTGACTTGCCCCTACCACTAGACTAACAGTGCCTGTCCACTCCAGCGATGTGATATATCACGCAATCTTCATCGGCAGCTCTCACTGGTACGGCCTTCTCTGCGCGCAAACCATGGAATGCCTGGTTTCTCTTGCCACATGCCGTGTTCTGTGGGGCGGGATGTAAATACATGATCTGCGAATTCTCTTTATAGTAAGTATGCCTGAATGGCGTATTCAAGCGATCGCGCGAGGGCTGCGCGCGGGCGCCGCGCACATGATCGCATCAGCACGTTCGTGATATACATACTATATAACATCACTTGTAACATTCGCTTCCTGGCCAACTCGAAAGGCTGAACCATCGACGCACGGAGTTGACGGGCCAAGCGCTGACTAGTCACGATAATATCCCGGCACCAGATTCAAATGCCACGCGATGCTGAATTCCAAGTTGTAGTTCTGGTCCCCAACTATTTCGTCACTCCTATCCTATATATGGTGTTGCTCTCCCTCACGTATTGATAACAATGCGTAGTGGCCATCATCTTCCGAGCCTTTTATCCAACCGCGCTAAATGGCCCTTGCTGCCGATGGTGATTTTTTTTTGGATGCCAGCCCACTTGATCGAGCGCGGACACATCCTAGATATGTAGGCACGGAAAAACTCTGATTTTGGCAAGTTTGGATCTCATCCGTACTTACGTTGCATTCTATCATTTATCATATGGAATGGCGTTGTCTGCGCTTGCGCTGCAGGGCTTGATTGGACTGTCGATAGTAGATCATCGATCAGGGTGACGTTGGGTACAATTGCCCGAGACATCATTAGGCCGCCATCAATCTATACCTGTCCATAGTGACTTTGTTCACCGTGCTGAGCGGCGCTGCTGCAATTTCGGGATGGGTCAGTTACTGTGTTCCAACTGCTGTGCGTTTTACGGATAAGGTGGCGATTGCAAACAAACAACACGACTTTCAAGGCACTGAGAGAAGCCGTACGAGGTGGCTTGGGAGGGTTATGAATGGACGAAACAAAAGACAGTGCTTCGATATATGTGACTGGCTGTATTCCGAGAAAAGTTGACGAGCCCCGTGGAGGCAGCCATGCCTTAACGAGTTCTTTGGCAGCCCGAAGAATGCCGCTGCTGCTCAAAAGTAGTCGACCCAGCCTAAGTACGACCACTAGTATTACTCATCACGGACTTAATTGACTCAGATACTTACCCGAAAATATGTAAATTGAAGCACTGAAGTAGAAGATAACTGGCGGACGTCAAGTGCCGGCTACTCTGCTGCTCCCTTTCCCATCCGTTATCGCGATTACTATTCACTCTCCTCGACCGTAGAAACACGGCAGAATGAAAGCAGTCGAATTTTGCACATTAAGCATCCAGCTATAACCTCTCAATGAGATCTCAGTTGACTGGTAGAAAGCTTCTGTAGTGCGAGCCAAAGATCACCCATAAACACTCTTCAGAGCAGCGCGAATCGTTATCCGCCGCGTGCCGTCCGATATCGCACAGCAGACCGAAGGCACAGTTAGTAAAGGAGTACGGGTGGTACCCCAACATGTACACAGTTTTCATTGGGTAGTGATGTGAAGACGGCCTTAGATCCAACACAGCGGGGCGGTCATATTAGAGGAATACCGCGGAACAGGAGTGGAAATAAAACTTCGAGTCGTTCGGAAACATTCAAAGTTTGAGAGTTGATGTACATGCCACCATGAACGCGTCCAATCCCTGTTCGCATGTGGTCGATCAGAGATATGAATGGCGAACGTTCCTCTAATGAACAGCCACACTGTTAGGTCATTGCGAGTTCAGAAAAGGGGGAAGACTGACTGTGGAGGCTATATGGACAACGCAGTCGCCTCTTCTTTGGCTCTCCCACCCTGCGTGTGAACGCCCAATCCGAGAACGGGACCTCCTGACTGGGCTAGGTTTTATCCCGAACTTCGGTGGAGTCATGATGTGGCCTGAAAAGAAGCCCATGCACATTAAGCGGGGAGCAAAAGGGGACAGCGCTTGCTGGTTAGGGGGAGAAGTAGGATTGGCAGAGGTAAACATCGCGCCAGTGGTACGGGATTGAGATGCTGATTCGTGAATGATCCAACTTTTCACACGTCACCGAGCTATGGGTGACTCCTAAATCAAAGTAAGGGTTCTGCGAATTGGTCGTGCTTCGGTTTGCGAGAGCTTCTCCGGCGATCGAGTAGCACAAGAGCGTCTCCAATCGTCGTACTGAAATTCAACAGTATCAGTGTAGCAGGTGGTGAAGTTTAAGGTTGGCGCACGCGTGCGGATCACAATTGGAGTATCAGAGGTTCCGGGCACTGGAAGGAGCGTACCTTAAACCCATGGTGGCCGATCCGCCACCCTAATAGCCATTGAATTCTAACATCAAGCCACAGACAATGTAGAAAAAACTTGGCGGCCCAGAAATGCCATACGTCTCATAGAGTTGTCTGACAACGAGGGGATCAGTTGAGAAATGATGATGGAGGGGCTGACGGTTGACGGCAGGAATTTGAAATGTCAGGTGATCTGTTTCAAGCTGTCAATGACCATCATTTTGTCTTCCGCCATCCTCCCGGAGATATATAGACTTAATTGAGAGATGGGTCCCTTTGGCCTTGTACTCCTCCTTATTTTCCCAACCATTTTGATTCCATGCCTTCACGGTGTTTTGTCTGTCGACTGAGACGAAAGGTGGGCTCTTCGATGTAGCATGGCGCGAATAAATTCTCTACATTCCATCTTAACCCGTACACCGGTCCCCTCTTCATCCCTCGATGCTTACCCACCTCAAGGAACACCCGACAGCTTCACTTGATTGAGGATGCTCGGCTTGGAAGGCGCTCAAGGCATATTCCGCTTGGCCAAATTGTTATGCCTGTTTTCTGCCTCCGCTTACTAGAGCTCTGCCTAATGTTGCTTGAAAACTCTCCAGGGATGTGTCCAAGACCCAAACCTTGACTCCTGTGAGGCATGTCAACGCATGCACATTGAGTGTATGGGTTGCACAATGAAGATTCCCAATGTGATCAGAGTGCGTTTTTGCCATCGTGGCAGTATGATGAACGAAGGGATAACATCCCTATAGACATCGACCAGAGCTCGGGAGTGTCTGGAGGAGATCAGGATTTTAGCTTCCAGCGATCCTCGGCGTGTTGAGACCGGTATGTGACGGGTCCCCATTTTCTGCTGTGTTGTCATTGTGTGCATACCTTGTTCTTCTCTTCGTTCGATAGCACTCCTTCCCAAGACACGACAATTTCTTTCATATTTGAAATGGGAGCAATCGAGCCTCCGAGATGCAGCAACTCAGCCTGAAGCTGACCCGAAAATCCTGACAATGGCCACTATCATTCCCCCCGCAGCTGACCTGCCAAATACAACCCACGGACGGGGAAATCAAGTGGATGCTATTTTAGCTTACGAGATGTCCGTTGAAGTTCCGCCAACAAACGATCTCGGAGGCGTGCCAGTTATTAATGAGGCGCCTCCTGCGGCCCCACCCTCTATGCTGGGATCATCTGGATCTGTCAGAACTGTTGAAGAAGCACTCCTGCTGCATGTCGGCACCCCTTATCCCGCCCATATTCCCACTTCTGGGACAAGCTTCTCCATTGGCAGGACCATTTTCCCTAACTTAGCGCCCGCCTTCCATTCAGCGGCTCCCGACCATGAAGTGGTATCCTACAGCGAGAATTGGAATCCTACGGTGCCAGACAACTCACATAGCGCCGTTGACTATGGAGATGCGGGACCTATTACCCACTTCAATGTCGCTTCGCATGAAACTCGCGATGGAATCTCGGGAAATGGTACAAATTGGGACGGAGGTGCTGTGAGTTTGCTTAGAGATCTGGCTTGGGATATGGGATATTGCCTCATCCCTCGGGGAGCCAGCATCTCCGATGGTGGCAATCTTGCATCGGAGTTCCATTTGGTGGTTTGAGCGTAAGTGTTGTTGAAGTCACGAGTCACCGGAACCTTCCGGGGCATTCTGTGGGAAATCGCCAGAATATTCCCGCCCAGTCTGTGCTTGCGTACGCGCGCTTGCGCAACAGTTTATTTTACGTATAATATCATTGTAATACATTTCGTGTATGTATAAATACGCACAGACGTGCGTTGAGCAAAATCATCAGAAAAAGTTTCTAGCTTACCTCTGGTCTCGCGAGTATAACCGCTGAAGTAAGCGGATTGCCTTATCAGGAATCCCTACATTACAACAAGTGTCTTTCTATTTTCTGCATGATCTAGTGACGATGAATTATTGCTGTAAGCCAGCCGATTCTATCCTGTGTCATCAAAGTTAATGGCTTCAGTGTTTGGATATTCTACGCTACGTCCAATCTAATCTCACGCATTTTTGGCTTTCGTGCTTGTGTTAGTTAGTCTCAAGGCGATCGGGAGGCCTATTGGCTAGCATCGCACTGTCCCTGATCTCCAAAGGCGGCTGTTCTTGAGTGGACCGAATATGATTCAAGTAGTGAACCAATTAAACGTGCTTCTATGCTTTCGATTCTTGTTCGGCTTTTTCCGCCGGATGGTGTGTGTTGACCAAATCGGCCCCGCATTAGTCTATTTGAAACCTTGTTCTGACCGTGGGTGTCACTACTCATCTCGATTCTTCTGCAGTCCATCGGATAACCCTGAACCTGCACACGTTGGTGCAATCGGAGAGCCAGGACTTTTCGCGAGTGCGCTACTAGAGCCTTGCTAGTACTTGCAAGGTAATCCAGAACCCAGCCCTCCCACCCCAAGCTGCTCAGCTGCTGATGCGATGCAGACCCCGCGGATCCCGCTTACCGCAAATAGGCAGATAAGACCATATTCCCTTCGCAGGCGAGGATATTCCCAAGCTAACGATGTAGAACTCGATACATGCGGCGTGTTCCGCGAGGCCCCCTAGGTCGGTGGGGAGTGGTGGGTCAGACAGACCCTGGTAAATGGGAACAAAACTATGAACATATTTGGTGTTCAGGATGCTCACGTGAAGCTGCTGGGCGATACGGAGGACACATTTAGGGATGATACGACAGGCATACTCAGGCTCAGGCTCAGGCTCCCCTCTCCCCTTGGGATGTGTTTCCTTCGGTGTAATAACACTGTCCGGATACCTTGGCTCAGCACCCTCAACTAATCGAACGCCATCCAACATCATGTCCAGGCCCGCAGCCAAGCGTTGAAGGAGCGCATCCGTTCAAGGCGCCCGCCACCCAACTTATATGTCCCTTGTTCCTTTGCCCTATGCGTCGCCACTTCCTCCTTAGCTACTTCTACCCCTTCAAAGCGTGCCTCTCATCCTCTATCAATACAGCGGTGCATCTTCTAACGAATAGACGAAGTACTGCAATTTTAACAACAAGTATCACGACATAATAAATGAGCGCTCATGGCGCTTAATACCAATTAGATCAGCGGTGTCCGGCCAACAATATTTCTGTCAGGTCTACTTTTCTGTGCTCTACTTTGTTGGGTTGTTTCCGTTTCGTAACTATTCAGCGGCGGACATGTATCTCTCTTATACCCGGGGCCCATTCGCTTTACACTCACGTCTTCTGGGCTCCTCTTAACCTCCGCTCGCTTCACATCTCTTGCCTTTGAATTGGAACCCTTAGTGGCGGTGCGTCCTCATTTTTGTTTTCTCATATCCGATTCATACCCTCTTTGACACTGCTGCAACCTCTTTCTTGAGGTTGTGATGGGGCGTTTGCTTACCATTCCGAATCTCACACTCTCGACATCCTCTCAAACTGGTTCCCTGGTTGGGTCTTGGTGTACCAGCTACATCGTCTTGGTGGAATCGATGGGGACTTTTGGCGATGGATGCCACGAGTTCATGGTGTGCTATATACCTCCTGGAAAAGAAAAACGCACTCAGCCTGGCTGACAGGATGTCTGGAGTCGGCTCGTCCAGCTTGCGCTGTCCGCTGTCCATCGCAAATTCGCTTGGAAGCACTGCCCATACCATTTTACCCATAAACGGGAACTAGACACGCGCATGGCAGCCTAACCCTGGACTTCTTATCGTAAGACTGTTCAGCGGGGTTACGTTATCTCACTAGATTAATTTAGGCAATCAAGCACACTTGGAGCCATAATAGGTGCTGACGCGCGGCATTCAAATTGCTCAGCCTTGATGCAATCTGTACCCGATCACACAGTCCATGAGAGTCTAGTAACGTCGATATGCTGAGCTACATATGTGAGCGCCTTATCAGCTCGGGCTCGAATGATCCATTCGTGCACGCACGCGCCGCTGTCGGCGCGCAGCGCTCAGGCTCGTAGTGCGCTCTTTACAATCTATTGTCCCTTGCCCGCTAGACATCTCAAGAAGCTGGATTAGGTGCACAGGTGACCACTGGATCGTTGGCGGCCTTCTGCCATGGCGGCACGGCACCCCATCTTCAAATTCCCTGTAGCCGATTTACACAGTCCAAGTTCCACCTCCTTCTCGTGGGCTATGACAATCCAACGTCACAGCTATAGCTGCTGTTTGGCAAACTGCAGTAGGGAAACACAGCCATAGGCGCTGATTCTTCCTTGTAGCATAGCGTTTCAATCTATTATGATCGATATACTGGGCCTCTACTCTGGTGTAGGAAGGAGTGTGCACGTACTTATAGGCAGCCTGTATCTGCACACAGCAGCTCTCTAAGTGTACCGAGCCTAAAGATGAAGCAGCCAGGGAACATCGCCAATAAAGTGCCGCCGGACGTAGTCAGTCGCCTTTTTTTCATGACCACTAAGTGTCATTTTTGGAAAGACCAAGCGGCAGGATTTCTCATACCCCAAGAAAATAATGACCCCATATGTAAATGTTCCATGATCAACGCCGAAGAACATAATGACAAGCGCGGTGGAATATTGTGCACCCCAAGCAATTCGACGCACACACGAAGTGAGTCAATTCATTGTCCGCACTATACTACATACATAGTTCCCACGGATATTCCTTCGACAAACAGACGAGCCGACTTCAGGAAGGGAGCCTTGCGCAAGCAGCTTGGCATCAATCATTATGCAATTCATGCATGGCAATAAGTCGTTCAAGTCATGACTGACAATATCTCTCCCCACTCAATTTCGAACAGCTTCCTGTCAAAAATCGTACATCCTCGTCCGGGCCGCCGACCGGCCCGCGACGCGCCCCGCCCCCCCAAACGGACCCACCCATGATCGTAGTGTCGCTTCACAACTCCAGGTCTAACACATGCGCATTATATGGTATATATAATGGATGATCATGCTTTATGTCAAGTGGGCAGGACCGAAGATTGACGAGCTCGACTGATCGGAGCCGAGTCTATCAAGGGATAGTTATTAGTACCTGTATCTAACGAAAGCCATGTAAAGGTATGCAATCATTTGAGCGAGTGACCTTGTAACTATACTGTTCAACTATCAGGCTGTGGGTTGCTGAATGACCTTCAAGTGTGTGGCATTTAGGATCGCGATGTCTAAGATCCGGATGGGGTTTCGGCACACAGGTGCCGTTTGGCATGCAAGTGAGCGGGGGCCCCGCACCCACCTCGATTCTGTAAAGTAGCAAGACAACACCAAAAAGGGGCTCAGCTGCAATATCTTCGATATCGCGATGGAGACTAGGAGGCTTTACTGACTGGTGCTGTGGCGATTCTCGTCGCTGAGGTGAGAACGCCGCGTCCTTCCTTTTTGGCACTTGTCTATAGGGGTTTCTTGCTTGTGGATAAGGCTTGTTTGTCTATTGTAGAGCGATTGGTAACTGCTAACATTGATTTGAACACTGTTCATGTACTCGCTTAAATTGCGTGTCAAAATCGGGACATAATTACATAATACCGCCGAGCTTGCGGGATTGCAGCGGGTTGCACGATCGGGCCATCCCGAACAGATACATAGTCAGCCTCGAGCCGGGTATCGTAGGGCATTACAGCTAATTTGCATCATAATCCCTTTTACGGAATTTGCTATTGAGCGAATACAAAGCCACCTGTTCGTTTAAGTGAAAATCCGGGGTTGAACTCTCATACTATGCCTGGACTCGTACCCAGTGCAACATGTAAAAAGGTCTGGAGAATGGATCCTCTCGGCCTCACAGTTCCCCAATTCCCCCAAACTTCGATTACATGCCGTCGCATTGCTTTCTGTGTCGACTGAAAGGAAAGGTAGGTTGTCCGATGAAGCATCTTTGCATTTCAACTTCGCGTGGACAACGGTTCCTTCATCACTCAGCCTCGGTGCTTGCTCAACTTTGAAGTAACACACGATGGCTTCGCCTGATTGGGGGCGCTGAAGGCGCATTCTTGCTTGGGCCAAACATTCTGCCGTATCATAAGACTCAGCGCAGTGCCATCAACTCCGTGACACATGTCTGGCCTTCTGGCACATATCGGGCCTCCGACAGGTTGTCAGTGCCATTACACTCTCACGGCAGTTAACGCTTTCCCTATCGCATCCATCCAAAAAATTAAGAGCATAAGAGTTCCTTGGCTTAACAACTTCCAGAGATGTGTCCAGCTCCCGAATCACTTACTCTGCACCGCATGTCAACACTTGCGTGTTGAGTGCATGTCTTGTTTAATAAAGGTTCCCAATGCGGTTAGAGTGAGTTTTCGCCATTGCAGTCTGTGTAATGGACGGAGGCTGAAATCATCCCTATAGAAATCGACCGAGGCTAGGGAGTGTCTGGAGGAGGCCAAGGCTTTGGCTTCCGGCGACCCTGGCCGTGCTGAGATAGGTACGTAATGGGTCCCTATTTCCTGTCTGTTATCGCCCATGGAAAACTTATTCCGGTTCTTTTCTTTCGATAGCACTGCTCCCCAAGACGCGGCAGTTTCTTTCATATCTACAATCGAGCCTCCGGGATACAGCAACTCAGTCTGTAGCTGACCCGATAATCTGCACAACGAACACTATCTTTCCCCCAGCGGCTGTCCTGCCAAACAGGACTCATGAATGGGAGAACGGAGTGGATACTAGTTCAGCCTACAAAGTGTCCACCGTAGTTCTGCCATTAGACGCTCTTGGAAACGTGCCAGCCATTAATGAGGCTCCATATTCTGCCTTGGGTTCATCTGGATATGTCGGAACCAGTGACGAAGCGGCCCTCTTGCATGTTGGTTCTTTTCCCAATCCTGAAACAAGCCTCCCCGTTAATGGGTCTATCTTCTATAACTTGGCGCCTGCCTTTCAGCCAATGACCCTCAACGAGACGGTAACCGACGGCGAGGATTGGAGTCTTCCGATGCCGGACAACTCGCATGACGCTGTCAGCTCTGGAGGTGCTGGACCTTCGACAGCGCCTTACCCACATGTAAATACGGGCCTTTCACATGAAACTCGCGCCGAAACTCTGTGTAATGGAGCGAATGTGGGTGAGTATGCTGTGGACTGGCTTAGAGGACTAGCTTGGAGTATGGGTTACTACCTTGTTCCTCGCGGCGCAG